TGAGTCTTCCCGTAATTAAATACCACTTCTAGACTGTCACTTGATTAAATACCACGGATAATATGAACGACCATATGTTAAACACGAGAAGTAGCGTGGGCGATAAATCTCGTCCATAACATGTAAAGAGCCAAATCAAGCTACCTGTGAGAATCTGACCTAACAAAACAACAAACCTTTGTGTCCGAAGCGGGATTCGAACCAGCAAATCCCATTCAAGTTGTGTTCCTGTGAGGAACAGAGCGCTGTTGTATCGACCGCAGGTCCGTAACAGAGGAGTACACGTACCTTAATACAGCACTGCCTGGGACACGAAGTAAACAGTCAGAAATTATTTCTTCTAAAATACTGACCACAACGTAACATGTTCCAACCGAAGACCTTAATTAGATCTGCATTTTGCTTTTACACCGAGCTGGCAGCAGTGGATCAACAGTTTACCAGCCTGGTAGCTAGGGCGCCGTACTGATGTTTGTTTCATGCATAATGGAACAGACGCCCTGCGTGGGAAGTTCTGGAAACTTGTTGCATGAATCGCAACAGGCAGACCGCAGATACACCTTAACACGAAGGATCATCACCGCCACAGAACTAGATTCTGGGCGTTCCAACCTCATATCAATCTTAATATTATCCTTCCACCTCTGTTCCGTACACTGCCCACTGCCTACCTGCGTTTTCATGAGCGTATTGCTTCATTAGCGCCCTCAGATCTCGTACAAGTCGCTCTTCTGTACACAAATTCGCTTTAAGAAAACCGTGCAATGTCGCAAAGGGATGTACTTGCCACCCAGTGACCCCAAGGACGGGTGAGATGGGTTAAACACTGTCCCACCAAATCCATCCTCACAGCTACAAACTATTCAGTTGAAAAAAACTTGGTCAAAGAACTTCAGAACCAACGAAACAACCGACCTGACATCCCTTCAAAGCACTAAACCTCCCGCTTACCTGTGTTCATCTTTGGGGCTGGGAACGAACCTGATGCACTCACGCTTCTGGAAGTTAGCTTCTATCCAGCATCGAGCGGCCTGCAAACAAAAGAGCAGCAATCAGACATCACGACATTACCAAGTTTCATGAAAATCTGCCTCTGGTCCAAACGTTATTCGTAGCGAGGGGGCAAAACATACACGATGTGATTACATAGCATGTTCCTTGGGAAAGTAAGACGCAGCATACACCTGATTAAGCAATTCAGTACCACATAAGCCACAGAAGGCCGAAACCACCTCCTTTCTGATTTCTGCTACAGACAGACCTTCGGAACGCGGCAGATCTTGCCGCTCCCGCGCGATATCAGCATCTCCGGCAGCTGGGCCGTGGCCGTCCCGACTATCGACTGATGTTCCCGCAACATTCTCGAGTCCTAGTTAGCGCCACTAGGACTTCTCCGCGTTCCTGCCCATGATTGACCGTCAGAGACCTGAAGCGCTCTGCCGCCGTCTGTAACGACGCAAACTGAGCCACGGACCGACCTCAACAGCGACATTACCGTTTGAACAGCAAATTTCGCAACGCAAACACATAAAATTTACGGCATGTTGGCAACATGTACATAACACTTCGATGTCAGGGAGCTGTGCAAAAGTGACGATGTTCCTGCGCCTTTATGACGCGCGTTCAAGCTCGGCACAACATGGCGGTGCGTGGTCAGTCTTCACGCCCCAGCCGATATTTAATCAGCATTCAATTGACAGACTGGGAGTTAATACTCTAAGCAGATCACATAATAAACCTAAAGTGAGTAATCCGAAAAGTGTTCCCTTCTGCCCTTTTATTAGCAAACGAATGCCACTGTTTAGTGGTGCTCAGGAGGACCCAGGTTCAAACCTCGGGTCAGACACCACATATCCTGCTGAGGGTTTTTGTGTCTCCCCGGGCCAATGGCAGGACAGTGGGCTTTTTAAAGATAGGCCACGACCACTTATTTTGCATGTCCTCTCCAAATAATCATTCACACACCACCTCATCATTCGATGCAACATAAGTAATTGAAAAGCGTCGTTAAATAGACTAAGAAACAGAAGTAATGTGAATCCGGCAATTTAGGCAACGAAGTTTTTAAACTTAATAGAACAAGTCAAACATCAGTTCGGACCGACTTGAAATACTGGCCATTGTTTCTGTAGGATGAAACAGAAAAAACGAAGCATTAAATGTGAACGTCTGCCGTTTTGGTGAAACTGCCAAGTCGGTGCCATATACAGTCATAAGACACGTCACCGGGCACCGAAGTCTGGCCCAAGTGACGCCACAAATTCCACGCTCATAACGTAATATGCCGCCCCGTCCCGTTTGAAACAACGGCATTTCCAAACAGCCACCATCTGCACACCAAGCTAACCGCAAGCTGTTATTATCCTCCGCACATGGTGGTGCCTTCCAAAATTCTGTGTACATTTCTTGTCTCCTCCACTGCTTCTCCACCCTATCCTCGTTACATACTTCGTTAAGCTCCTCAAAACACGTGTAATCTGTTCTCCCCTCAAAGTAACATAAGAAAAACAGGTAAAATTACTGTTCTACACAGGTTATCTTATCTCAGAGAGAGGCATTCTTATGGCACGGCCCCATTGCGTTCGTACTACGAACTGTGTGCTTTCCAGATTTATGTTGTTCATTCAGGTCTGCCAATTTCGTCCGGTGTCTTCAAATTACGGTCCCGAGTCCAAATCCGACCCGCGGTCACCCGCTTGAGCTGCGTTAAGTTACTGTATTTCAAGGAACTTGTAAACGCGTAATAAACGTTTCACAGTAACAAGATGTGTATATAGCTGCTCGGGGCAGACTACATAAATCACAAAGCACCGAGAGCAGAGCAAACAGAAGCAGCTACAGGACCCGCAACATTAACTGAAGGCTAAAGTAAGTGTTTTCACGCTCCGGCTACCTGGTGGTGCATCTCTCGTCGCCACTTAAAGAAATAATTACAACAAATTATTAGTACAATAACAAACACCTGAAGACGCGAACAGAGCCAACTCCCGAAACGTCCTGTATCTCATACAACAGCCAATGAACACAGTCTTACAAACAGCCTTGTCCCTCTGCATTCTGCCAACATCGTTAATACATCTGAGAAGATCACAATATATCAACATTCATTTCGTCTGTAGTTCATAAGAAGTGTCCGGGTCTTTCTAACGTCGCTGGTGAGTGGTTAGCATTCCCGCTTTGAATTCAGGAGGTCCCAAGTTCAAACCTCGACCTGGATATCGGCTATCCTGTAAAGTTTTTCGTAATTTTCCAGGCAAATGCCAGGATAGTACCTTAAAACAAATGTCACAACAGCTTATTTCCACATACAGTCACAGTAGCCCCATTTATTCCCTTTTGTGCACTGAACATGAGCCTGGGTGGCCCCCAGAGCCGGTCTGGACGCAGAGGCTAGAGGAAAAATCCTCTGCCCCCGTCGGGGATCGAACCCCAGACGTCCAGCCCGTAGCTAGTCACTATACTGACTGAGCTATCCCGGCCCATTAATCATCCAAAAACTCGACGCTATGGCCTGCAATGTGAGCGACTAACACGTCGTTAAATGAAGTACAAATAAATGTATACTTTATATTCTACGGCCTACAGCGCCATCTGTCCTTGGCCTTCGCTGGTACTACTTTGGATGAACCAACGTGTCACGAGTTCTCATGCTTGCACTTTCTTAATTTGTGATGGCACAAACACGCAATTATTCCTGTAGCGTTAAATGAATTTGTAACATTTAATTCGTTTCTAACAGTACAGTAATCGTCCGCTGGAGAAGTTAGAAAGGGTGGAAGGATTCCACAAGATGCATGGCAAGAAATAAAACAGCCCGTGCGCAAAGCAGAACTCCCCACGAACTAAGATATTACTTAATAAAAACATTCCCTGTAGACAAATAAATATCGGTAAAGAAGATCTTAACACGATTCGACGATGTCACTCGTTCAAAAACATCAACTGAGCAGACAAATCGTATGTGACTGTACACAAAAATTACAGCGCAGTGGCTCAGGAGAGGGTTGAACAGCGGAATTTTGTGAACATGGTAATAAACTTACGAATCTGACAGAAGAAGTGAAATTTATTGTCCAGCTGAGAAACAACCAGCTTTAAAGGGCAGATTCTGTGTCATTGAGTAACCATGCGTGTTTGTTTCCCATAATTCTTCACGCTTTGGTTTTTATTATAATTTTGTTTTTGTTCTTCCAAAATAAATACTTTCAAGACATCAACACCCCCTTTCCGAATCCTCACCTGTTCAAAACTCACATGACAGAACTTCAGAAGAATAAAAAAAACTACAGGGCAGTGGGTGAAGTCCGAATGAGCAAGAGGCTCTGTCTCAATCTGCAGAACGAGCAGTGAAACTGTGAGACAGACTCTGAAAGCGTTACTCTCTTTTCCAGCCAAACTGCAAACAAATTCCACGATCCAAAAACCACTCGTTAAGCTTTGCCGTCTGCATTTTTAAAATTCTAAATCAATTACACTTTATTAGATCTCCTTTGCGTTTGCAAGAGATGCTAACCGACACATATTGAGTTCAAGTGACGTATCAGGCACTCTCAACAACTCAAATCGTACCCAGGTTAAGAACAAGAAGTTAAATGGTGGCCTCCATGAATGTTCATCAAGGCAAACAACAGATGGCTGTTTTCCTATTATTCCATAAAGCATGTTTTATGCAATTTGCGTAATTTACGTCTCATTTAAGATTTCATCACATGTGCAAGCATAATTTCTGGCATACAGCCTATATGAGGCTTCCAGAACTCGCCCCGTTACACATTCACCTCGAAGATGGCTACTACAGTGTTTGCCGAAACGTTGTTTTTTTTTCCCCAACATTCGACGCGGCCCACACCCAAAAGCCGAAGTTACACACTGAACTCCAACCGCGAAATCCCAAAGATAAGAACCTACTGTAAATTAAATTTACAATTACAGTGTCCGAGAATCCGTGCAGAACATTTCCGGACACCGGAGTGTTATCGATCTGCAGCGACTTACGAAGACCGGCAGACAGCTTGGCTGCTCCACGCTGAGTGGGAAAGCTTTCTTCGCATCATTACCCACCACCCACTCAAGTGGATACGAAGCAAGAATATAAACAAATGCAAAGGGTAAAGTAATCCCTTAGGCCAACCACCAGCCCTTGACGGCGTGTGGAGAGCGGTGGCATTGCTTCAAGTATTCTGCGCTCAGCATCAGATCGAACACGGTCGTCAGCTTCACGCTGCGTCCACTTCAGCTTTGGAGAAAGAACCTCCGATGCCCACTGGACCTGAGGAGGGGTCAGGACACTGTGGTACCGAGAAATATTCTAACCCGTGCCAGAATTCGAAAGACGCTCATCCGGTTACATTACTGACCACTGGCGCTCAGGGGGACAATGGTCTAAATCAGGGGTGGCCAACCCGCGGGCCGCATGTGGCCCGCCTTGAACATTTTTCCGGCCCGCGAGATTCATCACACTTTTACAAAATATATTTATATTTAATTTTTAGTGCTATATATTTCTTTACAATGTACGCTTAGTATCATTATTATTATATTATCTATGTTTACACTATGTTTTTTCACTCCAAAAAAATGTCTATAGTGTATCTAAATCTAATATGGGGATATATAATTTTATATGTGGCCCGCGGAGTTATGATGCATTTCCAAAGTGGCCCGAAAGATCATTTTGGTTGGCCCAACCTGGTCTAAATCAAATACAAAAATTTGTTCCAGTAAACATTTTTATTCACCCACACAATTTCATATCTAGAATGCTATAAAAACTGATACAAAGTACCATTTACCTTGTGAGCACGTAAAACGTGTGCGTACTGTCAGGTTCTGCGTCCGTCCGCCCGCAGACTTCATCTCAAAAAACATATTTCGATCAAATAACAAAAAGCCATGAAAGATGTTCAACTTACCACTTTCTTGACTACTGGGGATCTTTTGGGCTTCATTTCTCCCCGTCTCTCTGGACCCGAACACTGTTGTAGGAGGACTTCCCAGGAAATCGGATATCATCGTTCAAACTACAGATGCAACAAACTTCTTCTTGACCTAAATGAAGAAATAAGGTAAGTTCGCTATTCAGGGGAGTTGTAAAAACTGCAGCGTTGTTCATAAAAATACGAAGCATCCGACAATCCGTCGATGTTGGTCTTCTGAGTTGTGGACTTGTAGATAGATACTGAAGTTTCGGAGGAACACACTGTCTTCATTTTCGGGGCTGAAGAAGGCTGACAATATGTTCTACGAAACGTTCATATCTATCTGCAACTACACACGGCATTAAACCCACAAACCAAAAGAACAACTTCGACACCTTTACCGCCGCGAAAACCGCAGTCATCAACACTGTAGTAGTAGTAGTAGTAGTAGTCTGCTCGTTTCTCCGGAAAGAAGATTTTCCTGCACGAGTTCCTCGCCATTACACAACTCCCCACTTGAACACTTACTGCGGGAAAACTTAGTCGCCCCATCGGCAGACCGCAGGCTGAAACCGACCGCGACGTTTCCGTGTCTCCTCAGTAAATTTCGCCTTACTCGATAGCACCGATACTTGGTGGAGAATCATTCCAAATGAATCGGCAGCATCATCAAACAAACACAACAAGCAAGAGACTCGTGCTCCTTGCATAATGAAAAACTTGTATCAGAGGTAAAATCTGCCATCTAAATAATATTTAAAAATTCAGCCCGTACCACAAAGAAAACACAACCCTTCGCCATTGCGAAGATTAATTCGTTAATGCTGATATTCACAGTGACAATCATACACACAAATACAAAATGAAGTGTGGGTTTTAAAGGGTTCAACGGTTATAATTAGTGCACGTGTGTAAAATTCTTATCTTTGTGAATTTTTACTTTTTAAGTTGTAAATACGTGAAAATTGGCCTGGGTGTTTTCAACAGGATTTTGAAAATAGGCTTCGGGGTTAAAAGGGTTAAGCGCGGTCTATTGCGACCGTGGGTTCGAACCCACCTCAAGCACGGATGCATGACGTGTCTTTGCGTCCTGCTGTCCGACATATGA